AAGCACACTTAGCTCTGGTTCACACAGGGCTACATGCATCAACCACTTAATTGATAGCTCCAGCAAGGGATGCCTTTTAATGGGGGTAAGATAAATGGAAAGGGTGGAATGTTTTCCTTTCAAAGGGGGGCTTTTAACAGACTCTATTTATGATATGTGTTTACTAACTCACAGCTGACTAAGCACCATAAATACATGCAAACTAACATACTGTACCACATTAAGCCCAAAATATTTTCTCAGTTCTGATTTATTAAGATTTATGTCTTGATGTAAACTTAGCTGATTTGGTCAATAAACTGAGTTTGAAGAAATCCTTGTTTAAGCCTTATATATACTGAGAGTTAAACTGATATTTTGAGAGAGAGAGAGTTTCTTAGCCTTTGCCACCCTATAGCTTCTCCTTTGATAAAAGACACACAATTCTAGACTGCGCTTCTCTTTGTTGAGTTTATTTGAAATTTGCCAAGCTAGAAAATATATTCAGGCTAGCCCTGAAGGATTGTATCTCTTTTCTGATCTTCATTACTATTAATGAATAGAATAGAGTAGAGTAGAGTAGAGTAGAACAGAATAGAATTATTTATTGGCCAAATGTGATTGGACACACAAGGAATTTGTCTTGGTGTAAATACTCTCAGTATACATAAAAGAAAAGATACATTCGTCAGGAGTTGAGAATTAAGGGTATGACACTTAATGATAGTCATAGGGTACAATAAGCAATCAATCATACTAGGGAACAGTCAATATAAATCGTAAGGATACAAGCGACAAAGTTACAGTCATACAGTCACAAGTGGGAGGGGATGGGTGGGAAGGAGTGATGACAAGATTAACAATAGTGGTACAGACTTTGTAACAGTTGAACAGGGTTGAGGGAATTATTTGTTTAGCAGAGTGATGGCTTTCAGGGAAAAACTGTTCTTGTGTCTAGTTGTTCTGGTGTGCAGCCCTTTATAGAGTCATTTTGAGGGAAGGAGTTGAAACAGTTTATGTCCAGGATGTGAGGGGTTTGTAAATATTTTCACAGCCCTCTTTTTGACTCGTGCAGTATACAGGTCCTTGATTGAAGACAGGTTGGTAGTAATTATTTTTTCTGCAGTCCTAATTACTCTCTGAAGTCTGTGTCTGTCCTGTTGGGTTGCAGAACCAAACCAGACAGTTATAGAGGTGCAGATGACAGACTCAATCATTCCTCTGTAGAACTGGATCAGCAGCTCCTTGGGCAGTTTGAACTTCCTGAGTTGGTGCAAAAAGAAAATTCTTTGTTGTGTTTTTTTTGATGACGTTTTTGATGTTAGGTGTCCATTTTAGGTCATGTGATATAGTAGAACCTAGAAATTTGAAGGTCTCTACTGTTGATACCATGTTGTCCAGTATTTAAGAGGTGGTAGTATGGGATGATTTCTTCTAAAGTCTACCACCATTTCTACGGTTCTGAGTGTGTTCAGTTCCAGATTGTTCCGGTTACACCATGAGGCAAGTTGTATAACCTCCTGTCTGTATGCGGATTTGTCGTTGTCTCGAATGAGACCAATCACTGTTGCGTCATCAGCAAACTTCAGTATTTTAACAGATGGATCATTTGAGATGCAGTTATTGGTATATAGGGAGAAGTGGAGAAAGCACACAGCCTTGGGGGGCCCCTGTGATGATTGTACAGGTTTGGATGTGATTCTGCCTAGTTTCACCTGCTGCTTCCAGTCTGTTAAGAAGCTTATGATCCACTTACAAGCATGTTCAGGTACCGCTAGTTGGTTTAATTTACTTGGAAGAGTGTCTGGAATGATGGTATTGAATACTGAACTAAAGTCTACAAAGAGGACCCTTGCGTAGGTATTTGGAGATTCAAAGTGTTGTAGGATGTAATGCAGAGCCATGTTAACAGCATCATCTGTTGATCTATTTGTTTGGTATGCAAACTGCATGGGATTTAACAGTGGATCCGTGATGGTTTTCAGATGGGTCAGCACAAGCCTTTCAAAGATTTTCATAACTACAGATGTTATAGCAACTGGTCTGGAATCATTCAGTTCCTTGATGGAGGGCTTCTTTCGCACTGGGATGATAGTAGAGCGTTTGAAGCAGGAAGAAACATAGCACATCTCTAGTGATCTATTGAAGATTCAGGTGAAGATGGGGGCCAATTGGTCAGCACAGACTTTTAAGCAAGAAGGAGTTATTTTGTCTGGCCCTGGTGCTTTTTCTGGCTTTTGTCTGTGTAATAGATCTTGCACTTTTTTTTCTGTGATCACCAGAGGTTGTGAACCCAATGGACTGGGGCCAGTTGTAGGAGGCTTGGCTGTTGTTGGTGTGTTTGAGATGTGGGTTGTGGAGACAGGTGGCTGTAATTTCCTTTCAAACCTGCAGTAAAACACTGCTAGTCATCTGCTAGTTGTTGATTTCCTTCTGCCTGGGAAGGAGGTTTGCTGAAGCCAGTGATGTTTTTAAGAGTTTTCCACATGTTTGCTGGTTCATTTGTTGAGAACTGATTCCTTAATTTTTCAGAGTAGCTTCTTTTTGCTGCTCTGATCTCTCTTGTTCATATGTTTCTGGCCTGGTTGTATAACATTCTATCACCTTTTCTGTAGGCTTCCTCTTGTGAAAATAGAATAGAATAGAATTCTTTATTGGCCAAGTGTGATTGAACATATAAGGAATTTGTCTTCAGTGCATAAGCTCTCATTGTACGTAAAAGCTATAAGTGATAAATCATGATCATAGTTATCATAAAAATACACTCTTCATAACTCATAAGATACAACACTTAGTGATAGAATCAACATAAATCGTACTAGGAAACTAAATAAAACAATACAAAACATAAAGATACAAGGAACAAAGTTATAATCATAAATAGAAAAGGATATAGGTAATAAAAAAGATGAAAAGAATATTAATACAGTCTTACTAAATAGTTTGACAGTGTTGTGGGAATTAGTTGTTTAGCAGAGTGATGGCATGAGGGGTGGAAATGTCCTTGTATATTTACTGTATATTCTGTGCTTTCCCTAGGTACAAAAGACAGTGAAGACAATACTCATAGTATTGGAACCCGTTCTACTTGACCTAAAATGGAAGAAGGATGTAGAGGAACTAGAAGTAACAAAGAGGGTGAGACTGTTGAAGGCTAAATCCTATGAACAGCTGTCAAAGGATCTAGATACGATAAACCAAAAGAAGAGACGACCAAGGGGAGACATGGCAGTAGTCTTCCAATATAGGTAGTCTTCAACTTACAGCCATAATAGAGCCTGCTTGACCAACTTGAATTTGTATTTTTGGGTGGCCAGTCGTAAAGCGAATGCCACAGTCATTAAGTGAACCAATTGTTTGCTTTTGGCCAGTTTTGCCAAAAAACAGAAGTACATGCTAGATTTTGACAAAAACCTACAATGTGGTCACGCGAAGGGCTGTAAATGAGGGATGGTTGCTGAGTGTCCAAAATGATTGTGATTGCAATGGGGGGAAGGTGGGAGCTGACATAACTTTGGAAGAAGAGTCATAAGTATCCCTAGGGCGATCCGCCATAACTTTGAACAGTTCCTAAGTGACCGATCATAAGTTGTAGATTACCTGTACTTGAACGGCTGTGCCAGGGAAGAGGGTGGGGATTAATTCTCTATAACTCCTAAAGGTTAGAGAAGAATTAAGACGTGGAGATTTCAAAACAGGGAGATCCAAACTCAAGCTAAGGAGGAATCTCTTGTTCATGAGCTCTATTGGGCACTGGGACAAGCCTGCTCCTGGACTCATGGAGATGCCATTACTGGAAGTTTTCAAGCAAAGGTTGGGCTGCCTTTTGCCTGGAGGGTTTGAGGATTCCTGGGCCAGACTAGAAGATCTTCAACTTCCATTCCAACCCTATGATCCTTCCAGTTTTATTTCACAACAACTCTGTGAGAAATTCCACGGGGTAACTTTGGGTTGGTAGAGAATACAGTAGCTGCAAAACCAGGTCACTTTGCTGAGAGGTGAACATCCTAACTGCTACACCACTCTTCCTCTCTGACTGAATCATGCTTCTTCAACTTTGTTCCTCATTGTCTTAGCAGGGAGTGTCAGTTTTCTTACATCACCTTCCAAATCACAACCCTAAACATTGCCAGTCGTTCAATGCCCAGGTTTGCACAAAGACTTTTGTTTCCATGGCATGTTAAGAAAACACCACCCAAGTACTGCACAGCAAGAATGCCTGAAGTGTGACTAAGCAACACTTTATCCGGTTACATTTATTCCATTATCTTTCCCCATACGACACGCCCTTCTGTCATGCTCATTCCTTACACATTACATCACCAAGTTGTGGGTGCACCACTTCAGGACATCCCCAGCACAAGCTGCCGTCCTGGATAACACCGCCTTTTTAATTTAAACATTAATTTAAAAAACTGCCATTCCTAGAGGGCTGCCACTCAATTCCTCTTTGAGGAAGAGAAATCAAAACTAGCTAATTACCCCAGGCTTCCCCCAACCAGGTGCCTTCCAGATGGGTTTCAATTTCTGCTTTTGCCAGACATTAGGGTCAGACATTTGGCTGGAGTAGGTCAAAACCCAGAACAGAAAACAGCAGAACCCAGAGCAGAAAAATCCAGAACTCTGCTGTCACAGAGAAGAGAGGATTGACTTATTCTCCAAAGCATCAAATTGCAGGACAAGAAGTAACCGACGGAAGCTTGTTAAAAAGAGACCCAACCTAGAAGTAAGGAGCAATTTTCTGACAATTAGAACATTTTAATCAGTGGAATAGCTTGCCTCCCGGAGTTATGAGCACTCTCTCACTGGAGGTTTTCAAATAAGACTGAACATCCATTTGACTGGGTTAGGGTTAATGGGATGATATAAGGCAGATGTCTCCAAACTTGGAAACCATAAGACTTGTGGACTTCAACTCCCAGAATTCTTAGTAGCCAAATTTGGGGACCCCCTGATATAAGGTCTCGGGTTGGACTATAAGATCAGCAAGTTCCCTTCCAGCCCTATGATTCTATGTTCTATCTTGCTTTCAGTGAAAGAGGAAACGGTACAGCTCCACAGTCAATACAACTTTTTCCTTATTGTATACAGCTTTTTCCTGTGTTAGGGGAAAAACATTAGTTTTTTGTGGGGGGACCAAAGCTTGGTCCACTCCACTCCAATTCTCTTTTATCCCAACTGCTTACCTCTAGCAACACAGTTACAGTGGACAGCAGCTTCCCCGTGAAAGCATGACTCACCCATAAACCTATAAGGTAAAGGTACCCCTCGCACATATGTGCTATCGTTTCTGGCTCTAGGCAGCGGTACTCATCTCCATTTCTAAGCAGAGAGCCAGCGCAGTCCGAAGACATCTCCGTGGTCATGACTAAACGCCGAAGGCACCTGGAACGCTGTTACCTTCCCACCAAGGTGGTCCCTATTTTTCTACTTGCATTTTTACATGCTTTCGAACTGCTAGGTCAGCAGAAGCTGGTACAAGTAACGGGAGCTCACTCCATTACACGGCGCTAGGGATTCAAACCACCGACCTTTCTGATCGACAAGCTCAGCGTCTTAGCCACTGAGCCACCGCATCCCTTTGTAAACCTATAATCCTTTGTAATAAAGACATGATTTGGCATGCATAATATTGTCACATTTTCATTTTATTCTCATACCATCACTTTAGGGGCGGGTTCCTTATGTTTCCTGATTCAATCCTCACCTGAAGGCTATATTTCAACCTCTACCATATCGCCATCCAGTGATGTCACTTAAGAACAGAAAATGCAAAATTGGGCTTGGAGAGAGATGCTGTTTCCAAGGGAGAGGAATCAGCTAGAGAAAACAAACAAAACAGAGCCCTACCTTCATATAAGTCTCATTGCTGCAGGCCTCAGTAAAAATGCTGGGGGAGGCAGGATGGGCAAGATCTCCATCTTCACTGGCGCAATCATCCCGCTCAAGGAGGGTCATTAGGTAACGTGCTAGAAATGCACAAAATAATGCAATATGAAGCTTCGTGCAGGTACCTTAATACAAAGCAATTCTCAACTTACAACAGTTTATTTAGTGACTGTTCAAAGTTACAATGGCACTGAAAAAAGGGATTTATGACCATTTTTCACATTTGCAACCTTTGAAGCATCCCCATTGGCCAAGTGATCAAAATTCCAATGCTTGGCAACTAGTTCATACTTATGACTGTTGCAGTGTCCTGGAGTCATGTGGTCACTATTTGCAACCTTCTGACAAGCAAAGTCTTTGGGGAAGCCAGATTCACCTAATAATTAGGTTACTAACTTATCGACTATGATGATTCACTTAACAACTGTGGCTAGATATGCCGTAAAATGGGGCAAAGCCCACTTAACAAATTCTCACTGAACAACATACATTTTGGGCTCAATTGTGGTCATAAGTCGAGGACCACCTGTAGTGAGCCTTTCAGAGAGATCAGTGGGCAGCATGACACATTCAACATCATGCTGCCAGCACTGTTTAACTAGAGACAATCCTTCACTTACAACCACAATTGCTAAGCAAGGCAATTGTTAAGTGAATCACACCTGATTTTATGGCCTTTTTTGCTATGGTTGTTAAACAGTTGTTAAGTGAATCATTAAGCAAATCTGGGTTTTTCCACAACTGGAAGCTGCTGGGAAGGTCTCAAATGGCAATCATATGACACTGGGATGTTGCAACCATTGTAAATACTTGCCAGTTTCCAAATGCCCAAATTTTGATCACATCACTTTGGGGGATGCTGTGAAGCTTGCAAGTGCAAGGACCACCAGTTGTAATTTACTTTTTTTTTTTACCTCTCTTGCCACTTTGAACAGCTGATAAATGTATAGTTGTAAGCTGAAGACTACCTGTATTATAGTTGTAGTTTCATGTATACTATAGTTTCCTATCTCCCTTTTTGTACAGAAATTTAAGACTCCTCACACAGTGCTCTTTTTTCCTATTTTTCCCAATAACAGCCCTGAGATAGGTTGGGCTAAGGAGGAGGGACTGGCCCAAAGTGAGCAAATCAGTTTCTGTGGCTGAAGTAGGATTAAAACCCAGCTCTCTTGATGCCTAGTTCAGCATCTTCATCATCACCTTAGCCAGGTTCTCAATGATCAATTAATTCCTCCATGCCTCAGGCAGCACCAAGCCAGATTGGCCCTAATAGCTACATGGTTGGACTATTCAGGCATAGAATCATAGGGATGATAAGGAACCTTAGAGATCTTCAATACCTCATCCTCATACCATTCTAGACAAATGGCTGTCCAAACTTTATGTTTAATATAAAAATAAGAGAACAGCTAGTCCCAATTAGTCTGTAAGATAATAACCTTTGTTGGCCTGAATGAAGAGCTATCCACCAATGATCAATTATCCAAAATTGGGTAAAAGTGGTTTCTTCTTTGAGTAATGACGCACAAACTCATTACCCATCACAATAGAGACTTACAAGAGTATTAAAATATATTTGAAAGTCTGCCAAAGTGCTTCTTCTAAGATGGAAATTGGTTGAAATGACATAAAGAGCATTTAATGATACAATTTTCATAACACAGTGTCAGCCTTCAAGATGAGCCCTTCTGCATCTTCTGTGCTTTGCATCTTTGCATCTTTCTTACTACCCCATCTTTCGGCTGTCATTAGTAACAGTGGGGGGGAGGGGGGAATTGGAAGGGAAGAAAGCTGGAGGTGTTACATTCCTATGCTGTAAATGGGAAGGAGGAGGGGGGAGTATAAATTCCTGTTCTTAAGTTTCTATTTCCCTGCCTAGCCTTCTCTATCCTTTGCGCAGCTGCGAAGTTTTATCAAAATATGTCAAGGTCAACGGACAGAAGCCTCATCACCACCTGAAGATGCCCACATGATCATATTCAGAACTTTTTATTGGAAGAGTCTTTTGGACTTTGGGGGGTGGGAACAATTCCATTCCTTTGTATATGTGATCTGCGCGCCAAATTCTTTAGATTCAGAATTCAACCTGTAGCTTCCACTTTGATTTCCAGTAAAAGGAAAAACTTTGCTCTAACCTATGGAGTCTGGGTATTTGTTTCTTGGATTTTGAATGGAGCACAGACTGACACATAGATAATCCTCAAATTACAACCATTCATTCAGCAACTATTAGACATTATGACAGTACTGAAGGGAAAGACCTACTACCTATCCTCAAACTTCAATAAGACTTTTTGATAAAAGCAGTTTTGGGCAATGAAGGAAAAAGTTTGGAAAGATCTGAGCTACTTTTATAACTGAATAGTTCTAAAAGTGCTGGGGCCAAAACTATCACAATTCCCAGTTGGCGTAATTGTGGTCGATACAAGTTAATAGTTCAAACCTTTGAATTGCATTGAGTTGGAAAAGGCTGCTCTGGATTTTGATCAATTTAAAAGGTAACAGCTAGCTACCAAAGGGTTTCTAAGCCTGCTGACCAACCACTTACTGTTCTCCAGGCGCTGAAGGCTCTTCTTCCCTTTAGCCTTGGGAATGAGATCTGAGTTGCGGATGGCTTGGTCAATGTAATATTGCTTCCGTTTGGCTGGAGAAAACCTCTTGGCAGAAGGGGTGGCCAGAGGGGGCAAGCAATCTTCGATCCTTCTGCAAGAGATAAAATTACACACACCCACCCAAATCAAACTCTTTATAGACTCTTTATCTTCTCTTTTTGCAAATACTTCAAGGGCCAGCACAGCTAATTGCAAACAAACAAATAAATAACAATCCCAGCTGGATCTAAGCAATTTTCATCTATTGCCAGGAAAAATGAGAGAAGCTGTAGGACTCTCCTGCCATTCTCCTAGCATATAGTTTTTTGAAGTAGGCTGCTCTTAAACATGGAGGATCTACTGAGCTCTTACGAACAATGCTTATATCTATACACATTTTCCATGCCTATTTTTTAATCTTGCATCTGCTGGTTGCTGGATTCTTCCAAAGGATAACAATGAACTAGCAATAGCAATAGCACTTAGACTTATACACCACTTTACAGTGCTTTGCAGCCCTTTCTAAGCAGTTTACAGAGTCTGCATATTGCCCCCAACAATTTGGGTCCTAGTTTTACCCACCTTGGAAGATGGAAGGCTGAGTCAACCTTGAGCTTGATGAGATTTGATGTGCCAAATTGCAGGAAGCCAGCAGTCAGCAAAAGTAGCCTGCAGTACTGCACTCTAACAACTGCGCCACCATGGCTCTCAATCTTTCCTACGTACTACCAATTCAATCAATCCCAGGGCTACAAAAGATGGCCTAGGCCAGTGGTGGCTAATCTTTTTGGGCTCCTGTGCTAAAAATTGTGTGCGCACTTGCACACTTGCGTGCCAGCACTCAGAATACAATGCCCGTCCATCTCCTACGCATGCACGCACAATCCCCACATACCCAACCACACACCCCTGCTGCTCCTTTACCTGCACTGTGCCTCACAGCTGATTTTGGGCCGGTTTGAGGTGTTTTTTGCCCTCCCAGAGGCTTCAGGAAGGCTTCTGCAGGCTTTTCAGGCCAAAAACTAGGTCTGTTTCATCACTTCCAGTATTTCTGGAAAAACAGGAAGTGACAAAGTGGGCCTAGTTTTTGTCCTGAAAAGCCTGCAGAAGCCTTCCTGAAGCCCCTGGGAGGCCAAAAAAGGCCTCAAACTGGCTGTAAATCAGCTGTGAGGAGCGTGCATGCGCAGTGAGGTAAGTTTGCCTGCAGTTGCATGCTGGCACAAAATGGCTCTGCATGCCATAGGTTTGCCATCATGGGCCTACACTATTGTTTGAAGCCTAATTATACAGGTAGTCCTCAGCTTTCAACCACAACTGACTTCAACATTTCTGTTGCTAAGTAAAACATTTGTTGAGTTTTGCCCCATTTTATGCCCTTTCCTGCTATAGCCATTAAATGAATCACTGCAATTGTTAAATTAGTAACAGTTAAGTAATCCTGGCTTCCACATTGATTTTGTTGTAACTTTGAATAGTCACTAAACAAATGGTTGTAAGTTTGAGGGACCTCAAAGTTGGGGGACCTCCAGCGAGCCTTAGAACTGTAGAAAAGCTTGGGAAATCCCACATAAAGGCAATGCAAGGTATTTCCATTTGGCAGTCTTAAAAAATACACAGGAATTCATCCCATTCCTCAGGTGTGAGTTCAAGATATGGTGAATTTGCGTCTACTTTTATCAAAGAAAAATCTGGCTAATGGAATTAATTTTCCAAACAAATATACAGAAAAGAAAAAAAATCCTGCAAGTCTATTTCCCCTCACTTAATTTTCCATTATGATTTATCATCTTCCAGAAGTCAAGCCTCATGGCAGACTGGAGTGAAGCTAAAAAAATGTCCAATTATTTTCCCCTTCACAGTAACCGATTTCAACATTTCCTATTTTCTCAAAAGAATTTTGCAGATACAGTTCCAGGAGAAGGAATCTTTTTGGTAGAGCTGCTGAAAAGATCTAAAAAAAATAACTTTATCCTTTCCCATTGCAGGTAGTTCTCGATTTACAACCATTCATTTAGTAACTGCTTGAAGTTACTTGAATGGCAATGAAAAAAGTGGCATATGACCCGCTTTTTACAGTTATGACCACTGTAGGATCCCCATGGTCAAGTGGTCAAAATTTGGCCACTTGGCAATTGGCTTGTATTTATGATGGTTGCAGTTCCCAGGGTCCTATTATCACCTTCTGTGACTTTCAGGCAAGTAAAATCAATGGGGAAGCCAGATCACAACCGTGTTAACTTAATAATTGTAGTGTTTCACTTAATAACTGTGGCAAGAAAGGTTGTGAAATGTGACAAAACTCACTTAAGTGTCTTGCTTAGCAACAGAAATTTCAGGCTCAACTGTGGTTGTAAGTTATGACCTCCCTGTACAGTTTTGTCATTCTGCCTGTTTGCTTAACAAGAGGAATATTGGTATTAACTTTTTTAAGAATGGAAACAGCCACCATCTGGGTCAGTGCAAGCCACCTGCTTCTTCAATAATCAGACTACAAGGAAACATTTTGTTTTGTTAAAATTAAAAAAAAACTTTTTTGAAAACATTTTGTTAATGTGGCAATCTGACTACTCTGGAGAGGAAGCACTGAGGAAAATTGTGGGTTTTATTTCTGAGTCAACAGGCATCAAGTTACATTGATTGGTTCATTGCTTTCTATGGTATATGCAATGAAGCCTTACATTTTGCAATCCAGTCTTTCTTTAAAATTACATTGGCTCCCACTAACCAGGGGTTTTTTTGGGGGGGGGATTGACAGAGGCTCTAAAGATGTGAATTGTGTTTGCGGGAATGGAAGCCTGAGTATTTATTAAAATCAGAATAGAATAGAATGAGCTGGAAGCGACCTTGGAGGTCTTCTAGTCCAGCCCCCTACTCAAGCAGGAGAACCTATAGTTATTATTTGCCTAGATTAGTTTGATTCCTGGGCTGTTTGTGTTTTATATTATGTTTTTGCATTGTTTTTAAATGTTGGAAGCTGCCCAGAGTTGCTACTGTGAGATGAGTGGCTATATAAATCATATATATAAATAATTGTAAGCTGCCCAATTACCCTATGTTAAAATAGGTGTCTAGTAAATTTTATTTATTTATTAATAAAGTTTCCAATTAATAGTGAATACTCCCCATAAAATGGATAAAGGGGGAAAATAAGGACTATGCCCAAAGTTAATACATTGTATTAGTCTACAATACCCATCATTCTCAGGAAGTTTGCATCATAGGTAGGTGTAAACTGTTTCATCTGACGGCTGACCATTTCCTCAATCTTTGAATAAAAATAAGGGTGGAAAAAAGTTTAAAAAGTAAAATGTTAGAATACCATCAGATTATGGATAGGATTATGCAGTGTTTCTTTTTCTTACATTAAAACTCTGTACGCTATCACTTACATAAAATAAAATGATTTCCTTTTTCAGCAGACCTCTTCAGACAACTAACATACCAAAAAGGGATAAAGCATTAATAGATGGTAGACGTCCCAAGTGCAGGGTGACAAAAGGTCCAGCATTGTGTATAATAAAGGTGTGGAACTCACCCGCCAAGGAATTTGTGAGAGTCATTTAAGACTCAACTCTTTTTAAATAAAACCTCCACATTAGGAGGAAATACATCACCCAAAACAAGGCAGTGGGTGACAGCTGTTGCATTCCCAGCCTTCAAGATCCTGGATGGGCTGGATTTTTACCATCAGATCCTACCCCACTCGACTTCAGAGCTATTAAAAGCACAAACGCCTCCAGATGATAAGGCAGTCTATCAGAGGGAAGGGGCTCCTTTCCCTGGATCTGAACCCAAGGCAAGAAAGGGACGACACACACACAAAGACAATTGTGGAGCGCCCACAATCCTCCCGCCTTCCTCCTACTCACCCGTAGGGCTGGTCCAGGGGCACTCCAGGCAGCTGCTCCTCCTGACTCCCCCTCAGCCCTCCAGCCGTTCCCCTTTTCAGCCCCACCATCGCTGCCCGGCCCGCTCACCTACCCACCCCTGCACCGCCTTCTCTCTTTCTCCGCTCCCCGAACGCCCGAAGGACGGGACAGACCTAGCCTAGGAGCCTCCCCGGCAGGAAGTGACGTCAGCCCGGGGAGGGGAGGCAGGCCTGGAGTTAACCTGCCGCCTTGCAGGGCTGCTGTCCCTGTTGTGGTTGGTGTCGTTGTTGGTTGTGCTGCTCTCCGGTTTGTTTGCCTGCCTGCCTGCCTGGGTAACTAGTGACGTGAGAATACGGTTACCTTGTTTGCAGGCGGTGCAATGCAGAAGTTACCCCTGCACACGCCTACGAGTTGAAATCCGTGCATCTTAAAAAGTTGTCCCAAAGGTGCTTTTTTTTTTTCCAGGAGGCAACTGGACTTTCTTGGGTTTTTTTCTTTTTGATTGACGTTTCGCTTCTCATCCAAGAAGCTTCTTCACCTCTGACTGGAGGGTGGGGAATGGACAGATTTATACTTCTTGATTCTTTCATGGAGGAATTGTAGCTGTGCTTTCTGCAAGATGTTTTCTTTATACAAGGAGTATCAATCCTTCCATTCCCCGCCATCCAGTCAGAGCTGAAGAAGTTTCTTGGATGAGAAGCGAAACGTCTTCAAAGAAAAACCAGAAAGTCCAGTTGCCTCCTGGAAAAAAAAAGCACCTTTGGGACAACTATGAGCTGAATGACTAAGAATCTCCATAGACACTGTGACTGGATGGTGGGGAATGGAAGGATTTATATTCCTTGAAGATAGCTGGTCATTTGCATCCTTTTAGAAGGTCGTCGAAGCACTTGGAGGTTTATCTGCGTCCTCAAGGTCGCCTGGAGTAGTGCTCCTGGTTCCTTAAAATCTTAAAAAGTTGCTGAGATGATCCTGATGTAAACGCACCTGTGTAATTAACATCACCGTTATTATTCATTGGGGGGGGGTTTTTAATCAGATGGCATTGGAAAGGTGACAGTGACAGATCTTCTCCCCAGCACCACAATCCCGGAGGGAATACCCGTTCCATAATGCCCAGAGCAGGATGGACTCCACCGTCCATGATTCCCAGCCCAAATATGCTACTTGGGAGCGATGGGAAGGAGCTGTAGTTTGATGCAGCGGGAAAACTAGGGGGGATTCAGCCAAACATTGAGGGGAGCAGGTGGGGGCTTCCTCGGGTTAGGGGCCTTCGGGTGGAATGCAATAGAAGAGTCAGGGTTTTTTTTAAAATGGGCATTGCAATAAGGTCAATGCGCAGATCGTCTGAAGAAACACAGCACAGGCGGTGTAAATCTGCATGCGGAGCAAACCCTTCCTTGCCAGCCCTTTCCTCGTTTGTAAAGGACAGCAGCAGCTGGATGTATGTGCGCGCAGAAAGGGTTACATTTAGCAGTTTGTTTATTTTTAGAATAGAAAATATAATTCTTTATGGCCAAGTGTGATTGGACACACAAGGAATTTGTCTTTGTTATATTGAGTCCATTTGTCTTTTAATATATCGAGCACTTTTTCCAAAAAGTTTTTTTTTTTTTGGTGTGTGGGGGGGGAGAAATCAAGAATGCACGAGAAAAATAGTATTAATTGAAGAAAAGAAATAAAAAGGGAAGAGTATCCTGGTCTGGGCGAGGCACAGAGGAAAGCGTGACTTTATTTGCATAGGCGCCTCCCATCATGCACTAGGGGAACTCCATAAAGCCTGTCGTATTTAAAATTAATTTTAAAAGGTGTAGATCCGTTGTTTGGAAAGCAATACACTGGAATGGGAAGAAATGTTTAGAATATGAAATACAGAACGATCCTAGTTATGACATTGATCACCCTAACTTTAGAAAAACTAGGTAAATAACCCTTAAATATTCCTCAAGGCATAAAATAGTTTGTGCTCGCTTCGGCAGCACATATACTAAAATTGGAACGATACAGAGAAGATTAGCATGGCCCCTGCGCAAGGATGACACGCAAATTCGTGAAGCGTTCCATATTTTTTTGCAACTAGAACAGGTTTCTCTGGAGCTTTCTTTGCCTACGATAAACTTTTTTTTTTTTTTTACAAAAATCACTAGCTTCTCTAAACAGGTTGTGAGAAGCGTTTGGAAAAATTTGCTCTGTTTGAACCATGAAATTATTGAGTTAGAACAATAAAAAGGCACTGAAAAGTATGAACAAATTTGTTTGGAGGTATTACCCAACGATGGATTTAGATGGCTAAGTTGGTTTCCAAAGCTATCCTTTTTAAAAATGAAACTGCCCCTCCCTCGTGTTATGTGCAGAACACCATCTTACATACTAGGTGAGTTGGAAGGGACCTTGGAGGTCTTCTAGTCCAACCCCTTGCTTAGGCAGGAAACCCTATACCATTTTAATGTTGCCGTATTATTATGTGTATATTGTGTCTATTACTGATATGTAAGTTTTAAATGTGCATCTAAAATCTGTTTAGGAGTTTATTTAGCATATGGCAGAAATATTTAAAAGTTCATCGTAACTAAATTCTCAATGACCTAATAGATAGTCCTTGGCTTACAACAATTTGCTTAGCAACCTTTTGACATAATGGCACTGAAAAAAGTGATGTATGATCATTTTTCACACCTACAACCATTGCAGCATCCCCATGGTCACATGATCAAAATTTGGACGCATGGCAACTGAACCATATTTATGACGGTTGCAGTGTCCTGTGGTCATATGATCACCCTTTGCAACCTTCTGACAAGCACAGTCAATGGGAAAGCCAGATTCACTTAATGACCATGTTACTAACTTAACAACTGCAGTGCTTCACTTACCAACAATGGCAAGAAAGGTCACAAAATGGGGCATTACATGGTTAGATATCTTAGGCATAAGACACTAATGTGGGAGCTGAACTGAAGAAGCTTCTTGGATGAGAAGCAAAACATCTTCAAGGAAAAATGAAAGCCGGTTGCCTTTTTAAAAAAGCACTTTTGGGTCTTTGGGTCCAGCTATTTTGGAATGCAATGCCCTATAGCTGCATCCTGAGGGGAGAAACTGAAACAGTTTATGTCCGGAATGTGAGGGGTCTGTAGATATTTTTCCATAAATTAGCAATATTGCATCACATCTGAAGTTTTAAAAATTTAAAATTGTTGAAATAAAATAATTGTTATCACACCATCATTGTGCTTACTATAACTACCATTATGGTTAATATTTTCTTAAAGGTACCTGGACCTTTTCATCGTATAACAAACATATGTAAGGTTCTGCTGCTTGTAAGATGTAATCTTAACTCTGTTTAGGACAAAAACAAATTAGAATTACTTGTTATATTGATATAAATTATAGCTTTCATATTATATTTTACTATGTTTTTAAAAGGCTCATATTGCACTAATAAAGTGTAATAAAGCATAATAGGAAGGGAGAGATCCAGCCCTCGCCCACTGCTTTACGGGGTTCCGTAGGGCTTGGTACTCCCTCTACTCCTGTTCAACATTTATATCATCCGTCACCATGGACTGAGGTATCACCACTCAGCTGTATGTCTCAGCCTGTGGTGAGTTGAGTGTTGCTGTGTCCTCCCTCTAGCAGTGCCTGGAGGCTGTTAGGGGCTGGATGGGGAGCAACAGGCGAGTGGCTCTGGGTTTGGGGTTCATTGGCTCAGGAAGAATTGCTACCTTTGGTCTTGGATGGGGTGGCACTACCCCAAACAGACCCTGTGCGTAATCTAGGGGTTTTCCTGGACTCACGACTCCTGTTTGAAGAGCAGGTGGTGGTCGTGGCCAGGAGGGCCTTTGTGCAACTGCAGGTTGTACACCAGTTATGCCCTGTCTTGGACCAGCGGCCCCTACTCAGTCACTCATGCCCTGGTCATTTCTCGTCTTGATTATTGCAACGTGCTCTACATGGGGCTGCCCTTGAAGAGCATCCGGAAGCTCCAGTTGGTGCAAAATGCAATGGCCCGCGTGGTTTTGTGCAGCCCCCAGTGTGCACATGTGTCACCTCTCCTGCAGGAGCTGCATTGGTTGCTGATTTGCGTCCGGGTGCAATTCAAGGTGCTGGTTGTCACCTTTAAAGCCCTTCGTGGCTTGGGTCCGGGTTATCTGAGGGAACATCTCTTGCCGGTCACATCTACCCGACCCATTAGAGTGAGGAGACAGGGAATGTTGCAGGTCCCACCCCTCAGGGAGATTCACCGGGTGGGACCCAGAAGAAGGGCCTTCTCCGTGGTGGCTCCCTCTCTCTGGAATGTCATTCCCCCAGAGATTAGAATGGCTCCCACTCTAGAACTCCTCCGGAAGGCACTGAAGACCTGGTTTTGCAAGCAGGCCTGGGGAACCCAGAGAGGGATGGAAGCCATCAAATGGCTAGTGTGATCTGCTGTCGTTGGGGTGGGGGGCCGGGAGTCTTTTTTTTTTCCAAATTTTGTTCTATTGTACGTTACTAATTTATTTGATTCTATTTGTTAGTTTTTATTGTTTTTTTAATTTTTTTATTGTTTTATTTTTTTTGTTTTAAATATGGTTTTACATTGTGTAAGCCACCTTGAGTCGCCATGGGTGAATAGGCAGCAATATAAATTAATTAAATAATCATAACAGATGCTCCCTTCACTGTGTTCAAGGATGAGCCATACAGAGGCTGGATGGAAAAGGAATTTACAGAAGGTAGACTATAACAACTGATAAATTGCAAAATGGTGTTCTGGAGCAAAGCAAAATATGGAACGCTTCACGAATTTGCGTGTCATCCTTGCGCAGGGGCCATGCTAATCTTCTCTGTATCGTTCCAATTTTAGTATATGTGCTGCCGAAGCGAGCACGAATTTAAATCTGTTTTATACAGTATATAAAGGTTTACATTACTGTAACTTTTAAGTTATGGTGAAATGCTATAAATTGTAAGTATGTCTATTATTTTTACGTCATGGAGGATCTTCGTGGCCTCTGTTTTTTTTTTAATCGTAGTACTAAAATACATTAAAAAATCTTTCCAATAAATTATCTGATTTCTCTTTCTTCGGGATGCATGATGGGAAGGAACCTATGCAAATACAAACCCCTTGAGTATCATCGCGGAAGGTTTGGATAGGAATTAGTATCAGAGGTGCTCATCCTTATTAACAACCCCAAAAGGAAACGAGAATTTGAGTTTTCGCAGCAAAAGAGGCTTCGGAAGATTAAATTTTTCTCTGGGCTGAGCTTTTAAAAGATTTTATTTTACTGACATGAATATCAGGCACTTCATTAGACAGCATTAAAAGAGGGTAAAAAAACGTCACGTTTTGGCGCATGCGCACGAGAGATGGACCGCATGGATGGTTGTGGTAAGTAGGGGGATATGGGAGAGTTCATTTGTGAAGAACGGGGGTGGAGAAGAAGCAAGAAAGAATGCTAAAAATCTCAACGTTTTTAAATCGGGGAATATTTTTGCTGCAGAGTTTGTACTTCCAGAGTAATTTTCCCCCTTGCATCGTTTGTTGAGGCATTACTCTTTTGGAGCCATTACACTGGATACAAAGCAGTGATTACTGATTTGGGGTTTTGGTAGCTTGTGGGATGCTATGGATTTAATACAAATAGCAAGCATTTGACAGTTGCTCCGTGTAATTTTTACAGGTAGCCCTCGACCTACAACAGTTCGCTTAGTGACCGTTCAAGATTAACAATGGCACAGAAAAAAATGACTTATGACTGTTTTTCAAAGTCCCTTTGTAAGCATCCCCATGATCATGTGATCCAAATTCGGATACTTGGCAACTGGTTCATACTTAGGACAGTTGCTGTGTCCTGAGGTCATGTGATCACCTTTTGTGACCTTCTGACAAGCAAAGTCCATGGGGAAGCTGGAATCACTTAACAACCTGGTTACTAACATCAACTGCAGTGATTCACTTAGCAACTGTGGTAGAAAGGTCATAAAATGGGGCCAAATTCACTTAACAAAGATCTCACTTAAGAGAAATTTTAGGCTCAACTGTACTCGTAAGTCGAGGACTACTTGTATTGACAATGTAGATCAATGTGTGATCTATTAAGGGAAAAACACAGATGCCTTCAAAACTATAATCAAAGAGTGATTGATTTGATTATACACCATCAAGTCACTCTTGAGTCTAACCGACCATCACAGAATGGACAGAATCGTCATTGTGTTTTAAAAATCAAATTAGGATAAGCCTGGAATAATAAGGCATTGAATGGGGAGCTATAGTTTTGTTCCTGGAACTGGTACCCATTAAGATTTTCATGAATGACTTGAGGGAACAGAAGGCCTCTCATATTTAGGACCATTATATCAGGGCTGCAAAATCTAGAATGGTGTTTCTCAAACCTGGTAACATTTGAGATCTGTGGACTTTAATTCCCAGAATTCCCCAGCTGTGAGATAGTGGGATGCATCTGGAAAAAAAATGGAATTCTCACTGATTAAATTAAATATTCATTAAACTGAATATGCTTTAGCAGTGCAACATAGCTGAAAAAAAGGGGAAATGCAATTTTGGACTGCAATTGATAGAAGTACAGGTCCCAAATTATAGGAAATGCTGTTTCTATGATATATTACATAGCTGGGACTCCACCTTGAGTGTTGTGTTTGGTTCTAAGCATCCCCTTTTTAAAAACCCAGAGAGATTGTAAAAAGTAATTGTAAAAAGTGCACGTTTAATTAGGGAATTGGAAATAAGGCCTTCATGAGGAGAGATTGAGGAAACCAGAAATATTTAGCTGGAAGAAGAGACAGTTAAGGAAAGGAAATGATAGTGCTTTTTAAATACTTGGAGGAAAGTTACAGTGACAAAGACCAAGATCTCTTCTCATTCTCCCTGCTATTAGGGACACAAAATACTGGAAGAACTTCCTAACATGAAGCACATTTTGGCAACTAAAGCAGAGCTGGGAGCTTTTCATGAGATGTGTCAAAGCAAAAGGCTGAGCAGGGAGTGCTTTAATTTGATGCTAGGGCTCAGGGGTGGGATTCAAATTTTTTAACAACCGGTTCTGTGGGTGTGGCTTAGTTGGTGGTCATGTGACTGGGTGGACATGGCTTGGTGGTCATGTTACTGGCTGGGCGTGGCCAAATCAACATCACTCACATCGAGGTACGCATCTCCTCGCCTGGCCTCTCATGACTGTGGGGATGCTGCAACAATAAGTGTGAAAAATGGTCTTAAGTCACTTTTTTCAGTGCCATTGTAACTTTGAAGAGTCACTCCACACAAGCAAAGTACCAGCAAAGGAGAGGGAAAAAACTCCAGAGACGTTCCTGAGACAGGAAGTCTAGTCCTGCCAAGAATTCAATAAGGGTTAATGGAGAGGCAGTTTCTGTAAGCAACACCAGAATGTTTCCTTCCTGCCTTCCTTACAGGATTAGGCCAGTAATTTCTTCTAACAACCAGTTCTCCAAACTTGCTTAGAATGTTAACAACCAGTTCTAGCGAATAGGTGCGAACTGGTAGAATCCCACCCCTGCTAGGGCTGGTTTTGATTGCCCAATTAGCTCCTTCTGATTCTTGTGTATATGAACATTTATGGTTAAAACATACACTGTACCTGATTGTGATAAATGCAATTTAAAACCATTAATGGCATTCAAATCAAATTGCAACAAGGAAGAAAATTAACAATAGAAGAAAATATTCGTAGGTCAAGATGGAATTGTCGAATCTTTGGTGCTCTCTGAGCTTGGTTGTTTTCTTGCAGACATTGGATATAATGAAATGACTGCGGAAAACAACCAAGCTCAAGTGGGCATCAAGTACTCCAAAGAGAAGTAAGATTATTTTCTCAATATCTACAGCTATCTTATATATTCTTATATTGCATGAACATAAGATTGCATAGCATTTCCAAATGGCTACAGATTTTGAAAGGTCCATTTAAAAAAATAATAGATATTGCAGCCTGCCTCAGTAGCACTATTTCCCCACATCATTATTTCAGTTAATCCAACTGGTCCGTCAAATTTATTTGAAATCTTAATTTTTTTAAAAAGCTCACTTACGATTCATGAGGTTTAAAGGATGAGATGATGGGTTGTTTTCAACTTTTTCAGCTACATCTACCATTATGGCCAGCCAGATGTGATCCAGCAATTCAGAGGTGTCTTCGGGAGAAGAGGGAAGGCAGGTGTTGGAGGCAAATCACAAAAAAGCGTTGGGACACCAGCGTTTGGCCCCTTTTGGATGTGCATCATTGTTTCACATGCACATATGAAAAGATGGAGCTTACATTGTGACAGCAGGGTGATGCTTTTCTCCTTTTGACAAAAGCAGACGACTTTGTGGCTGCCTTTGTAAACAAACCTGGATAATTAAAAAAAAGTGGAGGTAAATGGGGACAAAGTTAAAAAGGGGAAAGTGTGAATTTATTTCACATACAGGACCTTTGTCTTTGACTTAGGAAGAAACTGAATTAAAAAGAGGCTATCATTCCAGTATCCAGTTGATCTTACTTGGAAAAAAGTCCAACTCTCTGCTAGCGACATACGTTTTGGATTATGATGGGCATCAGATGGAATTAATATAGTGAAGAGTGGGAAACTGTCTGCTGCCTTGTCTGTGTGTTGATGTTCCTTCTTCTGCCTTGCAGACATGGAACAGTTTACTGTTTCCCCTACCTTTTGTCCAAACTTAGTGTTTGATTTCTGCACATGCAGAATATTGCAAGCAGCACATTTTAAGAAGTGGAGCAGGGGATGTCTGCTGTGATTCTCTTTGGTTTATCAGCTGTTGTTTTTTTTTCTTTGTAATAGTTACGGCAGCTTCTAGTTGCGATTTTCTTCTAGGTCCTGGCTATTAAACTGAGGAAGACACAATGGATCTGGCATATATCTGTGAGTGGGAGAAGCGTCCAAAGAGTAACCACTGCCCATCCATTCCACTGGTCTGTGCCTGGTCTTGTCGCAATTTGATTGCTTTCACCACAGACCTCAAAAATGAGGAGGAAAAAGGTATTTCCTACTTCTTTGCCACTGACCTTACTCTTAATACATTCTGGAATATGAAGATAGTTGATGAAATTTTTAATATTTTAATATTGTTTTAAGATGTTAACCAGTTTGGTCTAATATTTAAGGCACCAAGCTAGAAACCAGGAGACTATGACATGCCTTACGTGTGAAAACTGGGTGACTTTGGGCCGATCACCAGTTGGTTGGGAGTTGTAGTCCCACTTTTGGCATGAAAACCAGCTTGGTGACTTTGGGTCAGTCACTCTCTCTCAGCTCAACTCACCTCACAGGAGTTGTTGGAGGAGGAGGAGGAGGAAGTATTGTATGCCACCCTGAGTTATTTATAAAAAATAAAGGTGGGATATAAATAAATAAAAGTTGCTCACAAACAGGAGGAAGGTCTATTCGATATGTTCACTGACTTATTTATAAAAATAATAAAGGCGGGGTATAAATAGATAAATAAGAGAATATGAAGAAATGGATAATCTTGTACCAAACATAAGGGTCAGCCCATTAAATAGCCTCAATCTGATAATGGTGAATTTATTGCATTTTCTTGGCTTCCCCAGAGAATTGGGCAGATTACTTAAATTAATGGATGGTTCCAGAGACAATCTGCTCTTGAATCCTAGGTGGGCAACAGACCATAGCTGTTGCTTTCTCCATCATGAAAGGTTTTGGTGTTGAGGTCAAAGATCCAGCTTACTGGCAGATCTTCGTGTTATTTTGAATGCAGGTTCTCCTAGACTTACGACCACAACTGAGCCCAAATTTTCTGTTGTTAAGTGAGAAATTTGTGAATTGTTAATGTTAAAATGGAGTTTTATCCCATTTTATGACATTTCTTACCACAGTAGTTAAGTGAATCACTTAAGTTGTTAGGTTAATAACCTGATGGGTTAAATAAACCTGGATTCCTCCATTGACTTTGCTTGTCAGAAGATTGCAAAAGGTGATTACATGACTCTGGGATGCTGCAACTGTCATAAATATGAGTCAGTTGCCAAGTGTCTGAATTTTGATCACATGACCATGGGGATCCTGTAAAGGTTGTAGCTGTGAAAAATGGTTGTAAGTTACTTTATTCAGTGCCATTGTAACATTGAACAGTCACTAAATGAATTGTTATAAGTCAAGGACTACCTGTAGTCCGTTGTAGATGTGGGGAACTAGAATGGAAAATCTGCCGATTATTATTATTATTTCTCCATTTTGAGCTGGAAGTGAGTCTAGAGCAGAGGGAATCTGAGAAGGAGATTGCCTCGAGCCTCCCTCAATCTTAAACCCAACTTTGTCATCTCATTTACTCTACCTGATCTCCAAGCAGCTGCAGGGTTAATTCTAAATAATATTTTCTCCCCTCTAGTGCTTTCTCATCCATCTGTCCGGGGCCCAAGTAATACACCCATAGCAAACAAAACTCCGAGGCAGGTAGATTCCTCAAAGAACAGTTTTATTGGATACATCATATTGGCACAGTTCTGGTGAAAATTGACTATGAAGGTTCCCGCAGTTTTCACTGAAAAGTTTTCCCCTTTCCCCAAACAATAAGTCACATGGTCCAATCAAGGTGCCATCCAGTTGCCTGATAACATCACTCCTCTCTCTGATCAGAGAGAGGTTCTCAGGAGAAAGTATTTTATTTTGGCTACAAACCTCAGCTACCTCTATTTCCCCCTCCACAATCCCTCAGCTCCAGTGTGGCAATATTGAAGCTTCAAAATGGCTTCAGTAAAATCAGCTTCAGGGTTGACACCATCTGTGTCACTTTTTTTCTTTTATTTCCTTCCTCAGACCTCACCCATATGGTCCACATCCTTGACACAGAACATCCGTGGGACGTCCACTCCATCAATTCTGGACACATTGAGATAATTACCTGCTTGGAATGGGATCAGTCAGGTAAAGAAGGGCAGCTGTAGCTTGGTGCACCTGTTTGACCTGAAGACCTCAGGTTCATTTCATGGCACTTGCAAATAAAAAGTGTCTCCATCACAGGATTGCCTGGGAAGATCTTAGTTTTTCCAAAAAAAAAAAAACCCTTGCACTGTCAGAATGAGTTGATGAAATTAATATTAAAGATCCATTTCTTCAGGCTGGTACTTTCCAAATTTATTAGAGAGAGTGCCAGGATGGGGAAGGGTGGTGTTACGGCTCCGACTACCAAAGCCAAGCAAATCAGAACTCTGGGACTTGACTCCTTCTCAAAGTTCCTCTTTATTGAGTATATCATATCAGCACAGCTTCAATGGAAATCCAATTCTAAATCTTTCCTGTGTATAATTAAATTAGGAAATAACCCCAAGTGTCACAGGTCAGGTTGGCCAGTTGGGTTATTTGGTGGGTTCTTCGAGCATTCCTTCCCAAACCTTATCAGTTGCCAGTAGAGATGACCTTGGTTCTTGTGAGAAAACTCTTTGTTGTGTCTAACAATGCATTCCAACCTCCTTCCCCTCCCTCCCTTCCCACTATGTGTGGCAACTGAGGAACTGAAAGATGGCTGCAGCCAGGTTCTGTTTGAAGTTGACAGGTGGTTTATATTATTAGCTGTCCAGCTGACCTTGGCTAATTCCAGAAGCTATTTCAAAGGGAAACCACCAGCAAACTTCACGGCTGTAGACTGTTCATAAAATATCCTAAAAGAAAGCATGGGCAAACCATGTCTGGGTTGTTGCCAAGATGATTACATGGCTACATCCATGTAAAGGCGCATGAAATTGATCTTGATGAAGGAATACAAGGACCATTAAGAGACTATAAATGACAATTCTATCCTGGGAGGGAGAAGAGGACATGAGAAAGAGACTCAAAATAACCCTACCCTGCTGTTTGATATAAGAGGGTGCAAGGAAATTGGCAGTCTTTGAAGATTCTGCTATTATAACCTATGATGATAAAATATCATTTCGCTAATCCTTGTGAAGTCTCTTTCATGATATTCCCTAAATCAAAAAGTTCATGAAAGAAAATTTATTTTTAAGACAACATTCAAATATGCAAGATCAGTTAATTCCATTTTATACCTAGAAGATGGGCCTGTCTTTCCCTTGATTGGTATTCTGACTTAATTCATTCATTCATTCATTCGTGTGTATGTATGTATGTATGTATGTATGTATGTATGTATGTATGTATATGGCTGCAGGATCCAGACTGCTTTCTGCTGACGCTGATGGGCACGTCAAATGTTGGAGTATGATGGACCACCTGGCCAACAGTTGGGAGAGTGAGGTGGGCAGTGAAGTGGAAGGAGACCCAATAGTGGCACTTTCTTGGCTGCACAATGGGGTGAAACTGGCTTTGCACGTGGAGAAGGTAAGTAGACTAATTAAGGGTTGCTATTCTACAGGTAGTTCTCAGTTACATTCATTCAGTCACCATTCAAAGCTCTGGTTCTCATAACTTGAGTGCCTGGCTTGTGGTTGAGCTGCAGTCACATGATTGCCAATTGCGACCGTCTCTGCCAGCTTCCAGCAAGCAAAATCAATGCTGCTTTGGTTGTAAGTGTGAAAAACGGTCATAGGTCACTTTTTTCAGTGCCGTTGTGCCTTTGAGCAGTCACTTAAATGAATGGTTGTAAGTCAAGGACTATCTGTAATATTCTTCATAATCAATAATCTCTCCTAAATATCGTCTATTTCCTTCTGTCCTTAGTCTGGAGCATCCAATTTTGGTGAGAAATTCTCCCGGGTCAAGTTCTCCCCATCGTTGACCCTCTTTGGGGGGAAACCTATGGAGGGCTGGATCGCAGTAACCATCAGCGGGCTGGTCACTGTCTCACTGCTGAAGCCCAACGGACAAGTGCTGACCTCCACGGAGAGCCTCTGTCGCCTGCGCTGCCGAGTGGCCTTGGCTGATATTGCTTTCACTGGCGGAGGCAACATTGTGGTGGCCACGTCAGATGGCAGCAGTGCCTCTCCAGTCCAGTTCTACAAAGTCTGCGTCAGTGTGGTGAACGAGAAGTGTAAGATTGACACAGAAATCCTCCCTTCCTTGTTCATGCGCTGCACCACAGACCCAGCTCGGAAAGACAAATATCCTGCAATCACCCACTTGAAATTTCTAGCACGGGACATGTCTGAGCAGGTGAGGTCCTTGGGGTTTCCTTCTCCAGTCCCAGCTGCCTCTTCCTTCTAGCTCAGGGGTCTTCAAACTTGACAGCTTTAAGACTTGTGGACTTCAACTCCCAGAATTCCCCCTCCAGTCATATTAGCTCAGAATTCTGGGAGTTGAAGTCCACAAGTCTTAAACTTGCCAAGTTTGAAGACCCTTGTTCTAGCTACTCGGCCATGTCTAGATTAGTCAGTTAAAGACAGATCAGATAGTGAAGAATCTGGGGAAACCTATGCAGAAACATGGAAGGAGTGGATATTGTTAGTCCACATGGAAGGACATGATAGCAATTTTGAATTTCCCGGTAGTCCTTGACTTATGACCAGTTACTTAGCAATTGTCCCAAAGGTGCTTTTTCCAGAGGCAACTGGATTTTTCAAGAGGCAACTGGACTCTTTGAAGAAGCTTCTTGGATGAGAAGTGAAACATCCTTCAAGGAAAAGCCAAGAAAGTCCAGTTGCCCCTTGAAAAAACATCTTTGGGACAACCATGACCTGGATGACTGACATTTGCTTAGCAATTGTTCAAAATTGCAATGGATTTCCACAGGAGTACTTATGACCCGGTTCTGAAGTTCTGATGGCTGCCGTCCTCACCAAGGCCATGTGACCACATGTGCATTTGGTAGCTAGCCTTTATCATTTATAGTGGCCAGTGGTCATATGACTACATTTTATCACGTTTTTGCTGAAAATCAGCATTTACTTCCCTTTTTGGCAAAATTGGGTTTTGGCAAACAACGGTTTCATTTAATGACTACAGTGTTTGCTTAATGACTTCTACAAAAAAGGTTGTAAAATTGGGCCAGTCACGTGACCCATTTTATGACCATCACAACTGATGAGCATAATAGGCAATCTCCATTAGAGTTATAAGTCGAGGGCTACTTGTATTGTGGAAAAAGAGCAGAGAACTCTTTTTTGCCCCAGGTGCTTCATGCAATTTCTCACACACATCGATCAATGTTTAGAGATGCTTTCTTCTCACCATAATCTTTGCCCTCCTCTAATTAACTTTGAATTTTAAACAGCTGTTAGAGAGCCAATACTGGGCATTCCAGAACAATGTTTCTCGGGCTTGGGGACTTTCAGATGTGTGGACTTCAATTCCCAGAATTCCCCAGCCAGTCAGCATCCTGGGAGCTGAAGTTCACATAGCTTAAAATTTTCATGTTTGAGAAACATTGTTCTAGATCAGGGCTGTCAAACTTGCATCGCACATTGGCCACACCCCTGCCCGGTTAACAAAGAGAAAAACAAAACAAAACCTCAGAATGCTGGCAGGGAATTCTGGGAATTGAAGTCCACACATCTTAAAGTTGCTAAGGTTGCTAACATTGTTCTACCTGGCCTTCCCTCCTTCTCCAGATGCTGCTCTGTGCCTCCAGTCAGAACAATAGCATTGTGGAGTGCTGGTCACTCCGGAAAGAAGGACTGCCGGTTAACAACATTTTTCAGCAGATTTCTCCCACAGGTAAGTCAGGTAGCAGATGTAGAAAGAAAGCAGCAGAAAATGGCTTCTTCTTCTCATTAGGTTGAAGTCAGTGGTGGGATTCAAACTTTTTTACTACTGATTCTGTGGGCATGGCTTGTGGGCGTGGCAGGGGAAGGATACTGTAAAATCTCCAGTCGGAGGTGGTATTTGCTGGTTCTCCGAACTACTCAAAATTTCCGCTACCGGTTCTCCAGAACTGGTCAGAATCTGCTGAATGCAACCTTTGGTTGAAGTCATCTTGGATTCCTGAATGGTCAGACTGGGGAGTTTGAAATCCGTGAACTGCAGTTCTAGCCCAAGCAATGAGGAAGAAAAAGCATAGACAGAACCTTGCGGGATTAGGACAAAGTCTTGGCCCAGCGTCACCCCAGCCGCCTTTCATGCCTAAGGCAGGACTAGAACTCACAGTCTCCTGGGGATTGGCCCAAAATCATCACTTGAGACTTTCAAGAAGAAATTGGACTGCCATTTGTCAGAAATGGAGTAGGGTCTCCTGCTTGAGTGGGGGGTTGGACTAGATGACCTACAAGGTCCCTTCCAACTCTAATTATCTGTAAAAATCACCCAGCCGGCTTTTGTGCCTAAGGCAAAACTAGAATTCTGTGTTGAATTTATGTTTACTGAGTAGAATTCTGTTTCTCCCATATGAATAACATCCTTGTTTTTCATAGATGTGGTTCTGTTGCCAATGAAAAAATTTCATTTTTCTTTCCAGCTTTCCTTCTATTTATCTCCCTCATCACAGCTCAGAAGGAGCAATTTTTCTAAGGGAGAGCAATCAAACCGACAGGTGATGTTTAATTGTTGCCTTTGCACAGGAAATCTTGGCAACAGATTCTCATCACAACAGATGAAATCTTGGCAACAGATTCTCATTTCCCTCTGGAAATGAGCTTCTTTTGATTCTTCCCTCAGCGAGAAGCTATTAAATTGGAACACCTTGACTTGCCAACTTCAAAGCTGAATTTCTGCTCTTTTTGCTTAAAAACAATTACATTTGATAAATTTGAAGAAGGTGCCAGTATCATTTTGAAAAAAAAAATCCAGGCTGGATGTGTCATGTGCAGGCCACGCCCACCACAGCTCCGCGAAGGGGGGAAAATGTTGCGAAATGTCACATGACGGCAACGTGACACTGCGAGTTTGACACCCGTGTAGTACTCATACAGTCTCTTCCAAACCAGGCCTCTTCAGAAATTTCAGGACTACAGTTCCCTGAATTCTGAGCAGTCAGCACACCCAAAGAATTCTCAGTATCCCTGCTGCTCAGAATTCTGGGAATTGTAGTCCCAAACACATCTAGTAATCTGATTGTGCTAAGCAGAAAGGAAGGAAATTCCATTTCCAAATGCTTTTCTGCAGTACTTTAATTATCCTCTTCTTCTTCATTTCTAAGTTGGGGACAAGCCACCGATGATCTTAAAATGGCGGATCCTTTCAGCCACTAATGACCTGGACCGAGTTTCTGCTGTGGCATTACCCAAACTGCCAATTTCTTTGACCAGCACCGATTTGAAGGTAGCAAGTGACACCAAGTTCTACCCAGGTTTAGGTGAGGAAAGTTTTTCTTGGATGTCTTGTCTTATCAGATAGGCAAAAAACCCTAGTGTTGTGGTGACACGGTTGTTATACTGCAGTATTGCAGGCTAATTCTGCTCGCAGCCAGGAGCTGATGCTGACGGGCTGAAGGTTAACTCAGCCTTCCATCCCTCTGAGGTCGGTAAAATAAGGACCCAAATTGTTGGGGGCAATAGGCTGACTCTGTAAACCGCTCAGAGTGTGTTAAAGCAGGGGTCCCAAACCTCTGGTCCAAGGCCCATTCTGAACCGGGCCATGGAAGTGATGGATGAGCGCACACGCGAAACCAACCCTTCTCCCCCCCGCCCTGCTACTTCTGCCAGTCCGCCCAGCAAGAAAGGTTGGAGACAGCTGCTTTAAAGCACTATGGAGCAGTATATAAGTTTAAGTATTATTGCTAGCGTGATCCATTCTTGGAAAGTTCCAAGGTTCCCCCATGCCAATTTCAAAGCTTAACCCCCTACTTCCTGTTCTGGGCCGCAGGGGAGTGACCAGTGGGACTTCAAATCTAGGTTGTAAGTAACCCCCAAATAGCTCCATCAGAACTTCAAAGGGTCACTAAGAGACCAGTCCTAGGTTGAGAACTACCTGTACATCAAACTGTATCTCGTAAGAAAATTATAGATGTCTAAAAGTGGGATATCAAGTCTTGGGAATCATAGATGCATCATAATTAGAACTTTACTTACCAATTAGTAATTTGTCACTAATGTTAAGTTGTGAGCAGAAATGTCTCCCAACAGTGATGTTGGATTGGCTTGCTCAGGGGATAAAATAAATAGAATGTTCCAGAAGGAATGCAGCCTTACTTCTCTCAGTAAACCATTTTAAAAATCCCTTTGCAATTTACCCACCTCTGTTGCAGGCCTGGCGCTTGCTTTCCATGATGGCAGCGTCCACATCATCAACCGCCTCTCCTTGCAAACCATGGCGGTGTTCTACGGCTCCACCTCACAGCGACCGGTGGATGACCAGGCCATCAAACGGCAGAAAACTTCGGGGCCACTAGTCTACTTCAAAGCGATGCAGTTGTCTTGGACTTCGCTGGCCTTAGTTGGAGTCGATAGCCACGGAAAGGTACATTTATCTTTAAAAATAGATACCCTCAGTATTTAAAGCAGGGAGGCCAAGAAATATTTTTACAGGTATTCCTCAAGTTATAACCATTTGTTTGGTGACCGTTCAGAATTACAACAGCCGAGAAGAGAGTGACTTAAGGCCAGTTTTCACGCAACCATTGCAGGATCCCCATGGTCACATGATCACAATTTGAGTGATTGGCAACTGCCATGTATTTATGACAGTTGCACTGTCCTGGGGTCGTTGTCTGATCACCCCTTGTAACCTCCCCAACTGGCTTCTGACAAGCAAAGTCAATGGGGGAAGCCAGGTTTGTTTAACAACTGCATGATTCACTTAACACCTGTGGCAAAAAGTTCATAAAAATGGGGCACAACTCACTTAAGGAAACTGCTTAGCAACAGAAATTTGGGGCACAATCAGAGGTGGCATTCAGTGGATTCTGACCAGTTCTGGAGAACCAGTAGTGGAAATTTTGAGTAGTTCAGAAAACTGGCAAATATCTCCTCCAACTGGCCCTGCCCCCATCTATTCTCTGCCTCCTGAGTCCCAGCTGATCGGCTGGGTCTTCTTTGGTTGCCCTGCACAGGAGAACAGAGCTGGAAAGCAGGTTAATGGGGTGGGGAGGGAAGGGGGATTTTGCAGTAACCTTCCCCTGCCACACCCACCAAGCCACCCCCACCAAGCCACACGCAAAGAACCAGTGGAAAATTTTTTTGCATCCCACCACTGGGCACAGTTGTGGTCGTAAGTCAAGTATTACTTGTAGTTCCCCTTTTTCCAAGACAAAAACATAAAGAGCTGGATTGGATCATAAGGAAAATCCTCTCACCTGCTTCCAGATTTGGAGATAGCCAAAATGGCTCCAAGGCGTCAGGCATCTCTATCTCCCTGCGTTGTTTTTCTCACACGGGCACCTCACTTTTGTGACCCGATGCTCCCTGTATTCTGAATGAATGAAGCGTTTTATTGGTCTCCACAGCTGGCTTTCGAATGATAACATTCGATCTGTACATTTTAACTTTCTTTGACATTGATAAGGGTACGTAAGCTGCTGTTCTGACTGGAAAGGCATGTTAAGCCCTGCAAATAATAGCTTATTTGCTCCCTCCACCATGAATCCAAGTAACTTCCTTTTAAAGGCCTTCCAATGATTGGCTATCTATCGCTACAGCTTGTTGTAGGGAATTCCAAGTCCAACACTTTGTAAATGAAGGGAAGTGCCCCTTTGCTTTGTTGTGCATTTAACTGAAAAGTCCCTCATTTTCTCTGAGACCAACCTGGGCAAAACAAGGAATTATTGCCAAACCTGGCAGGCCGGATAGCTCAAACAAATGAGTCAAGCTTCACAATCGAGCAAGCAATGTAGCAGCTCCCTGGTTCAAACAAGCGCAGAATCCTGGAAAGTGCCCAGCATTAATCTTGCCAGAGTGTATTTTGAAAAACAAAAACAAAAAACCAACCATTGAGTAGGGACATACACCCCTTCCTTCCTAGAAGATGGAGGTAATTGACTTCCTGGCTGCATTCAACATGTCTTTCTGTCTGTCCCCTTGCTCTCTGCAGCTTAGCATGTTCAGGATCTCCCCCTCCATGGGGCACGTTCTGGATATGAATATTTCCCTCCGTCACTTGCTTTTCCTGTTGGAGTACTGCATGGTGACAGGGTATGACTGGTGGGACATTCTGCTTCATGTCCAGCCCAGCATGGTACAGAATCTGGTGGAAAAGCTGCACGAGGAATACATGCGCCAGAATGCCGCCCTGCAGCAGGTGAGTTCCCATCTTTTGAAACCTTCATTCAATTTCGCAGCTACTAAGATGGTTGGCTGAGCAGGTACAAAAATAGCCAGGGAAATGATTGAAGCCCATTATTCTATGATTCTATGAAATGGGTCCCTCGTCAGTCAAGGGGAGTGCTGATTTAACACCAGCTTGTCAGGGGCTTAGGAGCCGGGGGCTTGACAGCACAAGGAAACAATAGCCAATCATTGGCCGTCAACGCACCAATCAACCAATAGGAAGGCGCCACATAAATTTGGCTCACAATAGCCCAAAGCACATATTCCAGTAGAGAGAAGTTCTCTGAAGATGGGCTCCACCATGAATCCAAAAGCTCGGAAGAGTAAACCTCTGGTGCTGGTGAGTGACCCAGATTGGATCATGCAACATTATCCTGGGACACGTATGTTTTCCTTCATTCATGCGTTCCCATCTTGTTTCCCTCCTGGGACTCTGCTTAAAAGTAAGTCAGACTTTCCCTCTCCTCCCATGGTCATATGACCACATTTCGGATGCTGGGCAACCGGTTCGCATTTACAACTAGTGTCCTGTGGTCGCGGGACCACAATTTACCATAGGGTTTGGGGTTTTTTTTGCCATTCTTTCTTCAGGAGAATGGACTTTCTTAATGACCACATTATTCACTTAATGACTATGTGATTCGGACTTACAGCTTCATGATTGGCCTGATGCCGTGATGGCAAACCTATGGCCACAGGTAGCACGCAGAGTCATTTGTGCCGGCACATGAGCCGCAGGCAAATTTACCTCACTGCGCATGCGCACGCCTCACAGCTGATATTTTTGGCAGGTTTGAGGCCTTTTTTAGCCTGCCAGAGGCTTGAAAAAAGCCTCTGCAGGCTTTGCAGGCCAAATAATAGGCCTGTTTTGTCACTTCCTGTAATACTGGAAGTGACAAAATGGGCCTATTATTCAGCTTGTAAAGCCTGCAGAAGCTTTTTTCAAGCCTTTGGGAGGCCGAAAATCAGCTGTGAGGCGCAGTACAGGTAAGGGGGCAGCAGGGGGGTGGATTGCGCATGCATGCACAGAGGGTGGGGGGTGCATTGCCTTCTGGGTGCTGGCACGTTGGTGCTGGCAAGTGTGCACACAATTTTTGGCACAGGAGCCCAAAAAGGTTAGCCACCACTGGCCTAATGGCTGCTGTAAAAACAGACAATTATGATCACCAACTTATGGCTGAAATTCCATTCCCATTTGTGGTCATAAGTTGAGGACTATCTGTGGAGGGCTTTTTAGGTAATAATTGAATTGTACCTGGAAACTAATTGGGGAGGGCAGCACAACTCACAGAATAGTGATGTTACCTGGTGCTTGGACTCAGTCTGTTGCGTGTTTAAACCATGGTTTCACCAGGGTTAAATCATGGTTAGCCAAGTGTGTTTGGAGGAAACCTTTTGGGGTCAGAGAAACCTGAACTGCCAGAAGTGAAACCACAAGTGAACCAGTGTCATTTATTTCTTGACTTTAATGTGTGAAGGTCCTTGCTAAAAGGAGCTGCTTTCTCAGGGGTGATTGCGTCCTTCCTTTGGCAGGTTCTGTCCACGCGCATCATTGCCATGAAAGCCTCACTTTGCAAGCTCTCCTCCAGTACGGTGGCACGCGTCTGCGATTACCACGCCAAGCTTTTCCTGATCGCCATCAGTTGCACGCTGAAATCCCTGCTCCGCCCCCCAGTCCTCAACATGCCCGACAAGACACCTGGAGACAGACTGACTGAGATCTGTGCCAAGATCACCGATATAGGTATGTTCAAAAGGGCTGGTCCTCTCTTAGTCTCCTAGATCAGGGGTCGCCAACCTTTTGGACCTCAGGGACCACCAAACTCATAATTTTAAATTCCACGGACCACTAATATTAATTTTGAATGATGGTGGCTTGCTGACGTTTTCCCAGGGTCTCTGCAGAAAGCAGCGGAGACCCTGGGAAAATCCCCCAAAAGTCTGCAGGAAATTTCTCCATCCCATTTTCCTACCGATCGATCATTCTTTATTTGGGATTGCAAGATACCGCGTCCAGCTCCATTCTTACGGGGAAAGAGAGAGAGAGAGAGACTTTTGGCTTCATGCAAGGAAAGCAGCAGAAGCAGCAGAAGTCTTTCTTTCTCTCCCCCAAACTCTGCCAGAAATGAGTCTTTGTGAGACTTGTCGTGCCGGCGCAGCCTCTTGGAGCAGGATGCCTTGCAGTATTCCAAAGACTCATTTCTGGCAGAGTTTGGGGGAGAGAAAGAAAGACATTTGCTGCTTTCCTTGCATGCAGCCAAAAGCAAAAGAAGAAAGAAGTGGAAAGAAGCAGCCCTGGTGGCCAGGCCAGGAGCCTCGGGCAAGTGGGGCAAGCTCCCCCACTCCACCCTTTCCCCCCTCCCCTCACTACGTCGTGTTGTTCGCAATGCAAGCGATGCAAGCCTTGCGTTCCTGTGAGCCATGTGGATGGTGCACCCTTGTGTTCCTGCACAGCCTGGATTAATTGCTTTGGGAGGTTCTTTGGGGGTGAAATTTCTCTGCGGACCACCAAAATTTTCTCACCGAGCACCAATGGTCCCTGGCCCACTGGTTGGCGAACACTGTGCTAGATTTTCCAAAGGAGGGAAAAAAAGAGCTCATTTTAAAAGTTCTCTAAAAAGTTACCCACGTATGGTGGAAGAATCAAAACGTTCAAGCTCCAGGACTGAAGCCTTGTCTGTTATTTTGTGAGCATCAATGCACGCAAAAAGGGTGGAATTTCAATTATATTGCCATAGCCACCATTTTGACTTTTTTTTTTTTTTTAACCATCAGCTGGACCAGTGTTTCCCAACCTTGTCAACTTTAAGATATGTGGAGTTCTAGAATTCCCCAGCCAGCATAGGTGGTTTGAATTCTGGGAGGTGAAATCTACGTATCTTAAAGTTGCCCAGATTGGGAAACACCGCAAAAGACAATTTCATAATTAAAAGTGGTACTTTGACATTCTCCTCTGATAATCACAACATTGTTTGATTTGCAAAATTGACCTCCTAGTATTCTGTACTCTTTTCTTAGTTAAAATATGCCATGCCTGCTTGGATTTTGGTAATATCAATATCACAGAGAATCAAATAATCCCAAAGTTACAGAGAACCAAATAATCCCAAAGTTTCTCATTACTGCTTCTTATTCTCTTATTTTATATAAAGATAAAAGCAAGAGATTATGGAAATTGTAATCCAAAATACTTCATGGGCCTAAAATAGAAATGTCCTCAAATCAGGGGCCAATCCTGCTGATGAGATGGACATGAGTGATTGATCATAGAGTCATAGAGTTGGAAGGACACATCAGGTCCAGTCCCTCATGCACTGCAGAGATTCACTACATCAGAATTCTTGGAGTTGAGGCCCAGACATCTTCAAACTGCCAAGATTGTGAAACACTGCGCTACCCTGTCCCTGAAAGATGATTATCCAGCCTCTATTTCAGGGCTGTCAAACTCGTGGCCCATGGGCCGGATGCGTCATGCGTTGGCCATGCCCTCCCCCCCCCCCAGTTTAGCAAAGGGGGAAAAAAGTCACGTGCTATGACAATGCGAGTTTGACACCAAACAGCTCTATTTAAAACCCTCCAGTGAAGGGGAAGAAACCATTCCATGCACTGACCTAATCCACTGATTGACAGTTCTTCCTAATGTCTAATCTCTATCTATCTCCTTGAAGTTTCCTCCCATTGATCCTTCCAGATATCGACAAAGTGATGATTAATTTGAAGACAGAAGAATTTGTGCTGGAGATGACCACCTTGCAATCTCTCCAGCAACTGATCCAGTGGGTTGGGGACTTTGTGCTCTATTTGCTCGCCAGTCTCCCGAACCAGGTGAGCCTCACTAGTGCAGCAGAGATGCCCCATGATGCTGTTTGCTTAATGGAGGGTAAACTTTTGGGTCAAATTCACCATTTGAGTTCTAATGTTGACAGTTACCGAGTGTTTGTTTAAAGTGAGGCCTTCTCTTGTCCTTTACATAGCAGAGAAAGGAATGCCTCTTCTCAGTGGTGCCTCTTCTCAGGGGCCCATCTCTTTCCAGTTGCCACATATATGATATGAAGACTGTAGTTAATGGTTTTGATCAGACTGTCAGCATTCCAGAAAACCCCCACTCCAACAAATAACTCCGAGACAGACATCCTCTCAAAAATTCTATTTATTTGGATAGTAAACTGGCACATCTGGGGAATCCCGAATCTGAAAGTTCCAGGTTTCCTTGCAATAAATAAAAACTACAAATCCACCCCCTGCACCCATCATTGCATCACATGCCCCAATCACCATCCATCCCAACTTGAGACATCCCCTCACCCAGGTGCAGAAATAACATGACCTTGACTTAGAAGAAGAATGCTATTATGTCTAACCACATATCCTCCATGATATTTCCCCCTCCCATTTTCCCAGGCTCAAGAATGTGGCAGTGTGGAAGCGTCTGATGTCAGTATGGCTTCCAAAGCTGACACAGACATTATTTTGGAATCAGGAATCTTGACTTAATAATGGTGTATAATAATACATGGTGCTTTAATAATAATAATAACACATGGTCTTTGTTTTACTGTGCACAAATCACAACAAACAAACAAATCAGGAAGAAAGAGCTTCATCACATAAGAAGCCCATTATTATGCGTTTATGGTTTATTGAACCAAAATGAGCAAGACTTGCTGTGTTTCCAACTTGGCAACTTCAAGATATGTAGACTTCAGCTGCTAGAGTTTCCCAGCCAGCCTGGATCATGGGAATTGAAGTCTAGATACCTAAAAGTTGCCAAGTTTGAAAAACATTGGGATAGAATTATAAGTCGGCTTTTAATGAGAAGGTTGTTTTGGATTATTTTTTTGCCTTCAATTGAATGTTGACTGCTGGCGAGTGCCTCTGGAGATTCTTGCAGTTTTCTTGACAAGATTTCAGTAGTAGGTTGCCATAGCCTCTTTCCTAGGGCTGAGAGTGGGTGAGATGGTCACTCAGCTGACTTCATGCTTCAGCGGGGCAGGAATTCCTGGTCTTCCAGACTCTTAACCGTTACATTAAAGTGGCTTAGTTTATGCAGTGTATTTAATGATTTTTATGGATTCAGCTGTTACACAAAAATATCCTTTCTTGCTTGTTTATCCTACAAAGTAAACAGAGTACATGTACTGGTATACTATCCATTTAAACCCTGGCTAATTAAACCAGGATTCCTAGCTTCAAGTGGTGTATCCAGTGCAAGTGTCATCTCTTTCTGTTGAATATTTTATTTCTTATTTATGCAACTTTGTTTTGCTTACTGAATCAGGTAAAACTGCATTATTTCATTAGCTGAGATTTCTAAAACTGAAGCATTCCTAACTATTGAACCCTAGTATCTATAACCAAGAAAAGTCAGACAGGCCCGTCCCAGAGAACCATTGCTGGTTAAGATAGACAGTTTGGTAGCCCTCAACCCTTTATCCCCAATCCTGCCTTGATGATTATGAGTAATCTCATTAGAAACAAAGGGTTTGCTCTGGAAATCAAAGCAGAGGCAGAATTTCCAAGGATGGGAAGATAGGGATATTTAGGGATATTTAAGAGCTGCAGTGACGCAGTGGTTAGAATACAGTCTACTTCTGCTGCCTGCCGGCTGCCAGCTGTTTTCAGTTCGATTTTGACCAGACTCAACGTTGACTCAGCCTTCCATCTTTCTGAGGTGGGTAAAAGGAGGACTCAGATTGTTGGGACCAATATGCTGAATCTGTAAGCCACTTAGAGAGAGCTGTAAATCACTATGAAACAGTATATAAGTCTACTGTCATGCCCTTGTTGGAGTCTGATTCTGAGGGGAAGATTGAGGAGTTGACAGGGAGTGGGAGTGTGGATCCAGTGGCTGTGGAAGAAACGGGGGAAGAGCACAGTCCGGCTGGACATTCAGAGAAAGACCCAGGGCCATCCCCTCTTCATCCTAGGGCACGCAGGGAAGAACGGAGAAGGGAGCAATGTGTCTTACGGGAGAGGAAAAGGCCCTGATCCCTTTCATTTGTTGCAGCTGGGAGAACAGGATATAAGTGGGACATTTTAAATAGCTCTTTGCTGGAAGCTTCTCTTAGAAGTGTGCTTTATCTTGGTCGAGGCTTATCTGGGTTTTGGCATCTTCCCAATTGTGGTTGCTGCAGTATCTTGTGGAAATCTGCAATTTGTCATCCTGGCCTGCCATGTTAATGACTCCACTGTGGTTTGTGTTGGGTTTTTTTTTTCTAATTATTTTTAGTTTTGGTTTGGACTGCGTTTACTCTCTTTGTAGACTTGTTTTTGGAAGAGTTTGATATCCAGTCGAGGATAATTGGACATTGGGACCCAAGTTGGAGGCATTAAAGGGACTTTATTCTGCTTTTATGACTGTGTTATTTTTGTCACGCCCCGGGTCATCACATCTACTATTGCTATTAACTCATAATGCAAATTTTGCAGTAGGTTCATTGTCACATTTGATGTAGGGTCATTGCTGTAGGCTAATTCAAGCTCCTAATCAATTTGACTATTCCTTTTGTTCTATTGTAAGTCTACCAATAACGTCAGCTGTAGAATTGTGTGCATCGTTTAAGCCTTGGACTACCTCCAGGTTCCCTTTTTCTGCCTTAGGGTTCTGGACCTGCATCAGGACCTGTTCGCCCAGGTCACAGTTTCCTTCGGGATGGGGCCTCCCTGGGGATGCTCCGTGAGCTGATGGTCATGATCCGGATCTGGGGCCTCTTGAAGCCAAGCTGTCTTCCCATTTATACGGCCACGTCTGATACGCAGGACAGCATGTCCCTCCTCTTCCGGCTTCTTACCAAATTGTGGTTGTGCTGTGAGTAATCTGATGCGCTGCCAAATGAGGGAGAGAGGTGGCTTGAAGACTTGGAGCACAAAGAAATGGTGTGTAGAACATGAGTCAGGTGCGACTCAGGAGCCATTTGAGCAGTTTGAGCTCAAAACAAACCCTTTCCAAGCATGGGTTTTGATCCACGTTGTTTCAGTATTGGTGTCAACGCATAAAATATTTCTCTGGTCTTTTTAGAGTTGCCAACAGAAAGGGAGGGGGGAGCAGTGCAGCCGCTTGCAAAACCGAAACTGCATTCCACAAATGTTTTCAAAGATAGTAACTAGGTGACAGAAGTTTCTGCCATGCAGAATTCTAACTGGGGAGCATGATTGATGACTCTTGGCTATGGATGTGTCCCACTGGAGAATATGAATTACGATACACCCAGGAGGGTGGGGGGAAAACCAGGGTCAAGGGTGACAATGAATTATGTGTCTCAGCTAGCTGTCAGGATTCTGGCAATTACCCCCGTTTAAATCATGAGTCTCGATCCAAACTTTCAAAACTTAAAAAGGATTTATTGGTTTGTGAGAAAAGCCTACACACCCTTGTTTTTCACTGTAAGGTGATAAAGAAGGAGGTGAGCTATGGGTAGGCCTTGACTTACAACAGTTCATTTAGTGACCATTTGAAGTTACAAGACACTGGAAAAAGTGACTTAGGACCGTTTTTCACACTTAATGACTGTTGTAGCAGCCCCATGGTCAAGTGATTTACCTTTGGATGTTTGACAACTGACTCACATTTCTGACAGTTGCAGTGTCCTGGAGTCATGTGATCACCTTTTGTGACAGGCAAAATCTATGGGGTAGCCAGATTCACTTAACAACTATGTTACTAACTTAACATCTGCAGTGATTCACTTCACTTCACTGTGGCAAGGAAGGTCCTAAAATGGGGCAAAATTCTCTCTTAGCAACAGAAATTTTGGGATCAATTGTGGTCGTAAGTTGAGGACTACCTACAGTCCAGTCTACGGCCCAGACTTGAGAAAAAAAAAATAGCCATTTCTTTTCTTTGAAATGAATTTTTAAAAAAAAAACATTCCCACAAAACAATGGAAGTAACAATGATACATGTTTTTGTTGCCAGTCCAGGGGTGGGATGCTACCAGTTCTGCCCGGTTCTAAAGAACTGGTAGCTGAAGAGCAGCAGACACTGGACCGGTTCTGTGCTTGCTGCTGTTTGGCCCACCCGCCCGCCCGGGCTCTTACCTGTCCTTTATTTCCTGCTTTTTCAACCTCAGCTGCTTTGCGCAGCACAGCTGAGGTTGAAAAAGCAGGAAAGAAGAGGCTTTTCAAATGCTGTGCACCTGTGCGCAGCACTGTTCAGCCGTCTGGGCGGCACAGCTCAAGGTTTTTTTACACGCGTGCGCACAGCAAAACGTCATCACTGAACCAGTAGTAACACCAGTTGAATCCCACCCCTGTGCCAGTCGGTCCATTTTTTTTTTTAAAAAAAAGTAGAAATCCTCTTCATAGTTTATCTAGAAATGATTCCCAGGTGAAAATAGATGTTTGTGATCCAATGTTTGATGTTTGTTGAAGTCCACACCTCTTAAAGTGGCCAAGGATGAAAAAAACACTGATCCAAAGCCTTTTCCCTTGTGCAGGCCGTGACGAAGGGCATCCCAGCGAGCCGGACGATACCTTGATCGACGAATGTTGTCTCCTACCCAGCCAGCTCCTCATCCCAAACATGGATTGGCTTCCGGTGAACGATGCCATCATCAGCAAGCTGCAGAACAAGCAGCCAGTCCGGCTGCAGTTTGGAAAGCCTCCCGGGATCATTGGGCACTCCGCTCCAGTTCCGTGCGACGCGTTTACCAGGTGCATCGAGGGCAACCTGGCTTCTCTCTTGACACGACAGGGATGCTCCTTGGCGTGCTGGACGGATGGCCCTTGATGCGTTTTACTTTTGTTTAAGGCCTTCACTGTACTCACTGAAAGATCAGGTCTCTTTAATACAGTCCCAAAGGTGCTTTTTCAAGCGGCATCTGGACTTTCTGGTTTTTCTTTGAAGACGTTTCGCTTCTCATCCAAGAAGCTTCTTCAGCTCTGATTGGGTGGTGGGGAATGGAAAGATTTATACTCCTTGCGGACAGCTGGTCGTTTCCATTTTTTTTTAACCAGCTGCCTGAAAGGAGCATTAATCCATCCATTTTCCACCATCCAGTCAGAGCTGAAGAAGCTTCTTGGATGAGAAGTGAAATGTCTTCAAAGGAAAACCAGACAGTCCGGTTGCCTCTTGAGAAAGCACCTTTGGGACAACCATGACCTGGATAATTGAGAATTTCCTTAGACTTTAATAATTCAAAGTTTTTCCAACTTCATCGCTTTAAGACATATGGACCAACTCCCAGAATTCATCAGTCAGCATAGCTGGTTGGCAAATTCTGGGAGTTGAAGTCCACACATCTTAAAGTGACCAAGTTGGAAAAATACTGTTTTAATTGATCCAGTTGAAAAACAAGTTGAATGGAAAGAGACCCTGAAATACAAGTTCCTTGACTTGGTGATTTGGGTCAAATTAGCCTTGGTTGTAATCTTTCTACAGCTCATGTGATCAACTCCATTTTGCTATTCCCAGGTGGCAGCAAATCACTGGTTTTAGAGCAGTGCTGTTCCTTGATTATTTAAAAAAAATAAGCACCAAAATTAGGTATATTAACCCCCTTTGCCAACCTCCACTAACCTAGTTGTGTTCATTTCTAAAAAGCTGTTGCCCTCTCCTATCCTATATGGAACAAAAGGGGCAGGGGAATCAGTCCCTCCCTCTCTTGATGTGGCATTGTTGTGTTATCACCCTGAAAGATTGTCTGTCCCCATGGCATTTGGCACTGTGCTATATAACAAGTGTTGTCTTCATTCCCAGGACTACTGGGTACCCAAAGATTGACCACCTGCGGCGGCTCCATCTTGGAGCTTATCCTACTGAAGAATGCAAGTCCTGTACAAGGTTAGCATCCCAGGCTGAGGGAAGGAAGAGTTCAGTCCCCCGAAAGATTATATTTTGAACCTAATCCCAAACTGACGGTTGTTAAATTAAACCCCGTTCCCCACTATCAAAGTGGATTCCAGGTGCTGTGCTACAATGGAAAAATGGACAACAGAGCGGCCAGCACGAAGGAAGGAGGAGGAGCAGGGAGAAGAAAGGGAAAGCGGCCTCCTTCCCTTGTGCCGGCTACCCTGTTGCCCATTTCTCCATTGCAGCACAGCTTTGATTGTGTGTGTGTGTGTGTAATTTAACAATTGGTTCTCTTGAACCAGTGTAAATCGGTTGAATCCCACCACTGGATAAACCTGGTATAAAATACAGGTAGTCCTCCCTCTATGACCAAAGGAGTCCAAGATTTCCATTACTAAGCAAGCAAGTGGCTTGTGCTCCATTTTATGACCTTTTTGCCAAGGTTATTAACTGAATCTGACTTTCCCCATTAACTTTGCTTACCAGAAGCCAGCTGGGAAGGTTAGAAATGGCGACCGCATGACCCCGAGACAATGCAGCCATTGTAAATACATGCCAGTTGCCAAGCGCCTGAATTTTGATCCCGTGATCACAGGGATGGTCACGTGACCTGATAGTCCTTCCTCCTCCCCTTTTCCCCGCAACCACAAACCTGTGAGGTAGGTTGGGCTGAGACAGAAAGATGACCCAAAGTTACCCAGGTTCATACAGGAAACCCTGTAAAAACATATTAGAACGTTTTTTTTGAGGAGACCATTTTTTTCCTCCACACCTTCTGGAGAAGTTTCTCAGCTGGGTGCCATTTTGTCCCCTGTTTAGGTGCGGCTGTGTTACAATGCTCCGTTCCCCCAATAAGACCACGGCTGTGAAACAGTGGGAGCAGCGATGGATCAAGAATTGCCTTTGTGGTGGTCTTTGGAGAAGAATGCCCCTCAGCTATTCATGATGGATGCCAGGACTCTTTGCCTTACCCAGATGGGATTTGTGAGGAGTTTTGCAGCTTACTCCAGAAACTCAATTCAAAAATAAAAACATCCTGGAGGAAAAAAACACCCCAACATAAGATACAACTTCCAGAAAGAGTTGCAGGTGGACTTTCTTGGGCCAAAGCACCAAGAGAAATCAATGGGAGGCACTGGAGGACTTTGAATTGATTGGCACTTCTGGTAGCAAATGGAATTTGGCCAGTGCCAAAGTTGCATTAATATCCCTAAATTGCACCTCAGTTTTTCCTCTTATTAAAAATGGCAGCTTTTAGTTCAACATTCAGGAAGGGTTAAAATGCTGCATTAAAAAAATGAAGCATATTTTAGCATTGTTCAATTTGCAGAAAAGTAGACAATTATAGGAAAGAGAAGAGCTTTTCTTGGTATATGGATTTGCTTCACGCAGAAAATTGGGGGGGAGAAGGTTTGGGGAGACAGTCTAACTATGAACATTCTCCCCTATTTTTCTTTCCATTTGCTCAAAACTCCCTGTGTCTAGAACAGAGATCTCCAAACTTGGCAACTTTAAGACTTGTGGACTTCAACTCCCAGAATTCTCCAGTCAGCTATGCTATGTCATACTGGCTGGAGAATTCTGGGAATTGAAGTCCACAAGTCTTAAAGTTGCCAAATTTGGGGGGGGCCTGGTCTAGAAACTCATATGTTGGGAAACTGAGGTTAAACTATTCCAGTCCTTCTCTACTTCTGCCTGCGGTCTGAAATAATCCAGCCTAAAATTCTTCCATTTCCAGAAGAGTTTGTTCTTCTCTCACATACAGCTGATATGTCTGCTTTTGAACTTCTAGCTCTATATAATTCAAAGACTATTTCTTTGAAAAGTATGTGATGATATAAGGATTTGAAAACCACAACTTTGATCTTATCCTTTTTAAAAATTTCCTGGGCTACGAGACTTCAGACTCCACAGATCCTTCTGTTAAAATCTAGGGAGGGAAAGGAGTCTCCTGCATAGGAGTTGCAATTTTTTTTGCATTTTTTTTTTAGTCTCTGACAAATAAGCGGGTGCCTTTCTTTGTGCCCAATAATTCTGTGTTTTCTCAGAAGGTGGTGACAGCAAAGAAGATAAAAATATTCATGGATAAGCAATGGTTTTGTTCATATTGTAACAGGATCTAGTTTGTACAGATTATAATTACAGAGTTTTGTATGCTTTGTAAATTGAGAACTTTTTTTATTCTTCGTTTTTCCTCATGAAGTACTTCCCCCTCTCTCTGAACTTTTAAAGCAACCCCCCTCCCACTTAAAAGGAACACCCTCCCTCCCTCGCTCTCAAATATAGCTTGGAACAGTTTTAAAGTTCCTTCTGTATTGAAGTTCGCTTTGCCATTTTATTTGCAGGAAACAATGATGGGAGGAAATGGTGGAAGAGAGGTGAAAGCGGTTGGAAGTTATCCAGGACCAGCAATTCTTGGTTTTTGTGTTTGCAGTGATCATCCAGTTAATACAGGTAGTCCTTGACTTACAAGAGCTGTGGTGACGCAGTGGTTAGAGTGCAGTACTGCAGGCTAGTTCTGCTGATTGCCAGCTGCCTGCAGTTTGGCAGTTCAAATCCCACCAGGCTCAAGATTGACTCATCCTTCCATCCTTCTGAAGTGGGTAAAATGAGGACCCAGATTGTTGTGGGCAATTATGCTGACTCTGTAAACTGTTTAGAGAGGGCTGTAAAACATTGTAAAGCGGTATTTATATCTAAGTGCTATTGCTATTGCTACAACCATTCGTTTAAAGGCCTTTTGAAGTTTCAGTGGCACTGAATAAAGTGTCTTACAACAGTCCTCACACTTAAGACCCTGGCAGTATCTCCATGGTCATGTGATCAAAATTCAGGCGCTTGGCAACCAGCATGTTTTTAGAATGGTTGCAGCATCCCAAGGTCATGTGATTGCCTTTTGCGACCTTCCCAGTTGGCTTCCGACAAGCAAAGTCAGTGGGGAAAGCTGGATTCACTTAACAACGGTGTGATTCATTTAGCAACTCTAATGATTCACTTAACAACCATGGCAAAAAAAAGGGTTGTAAAATCAGGCATGACTCACTTAACGATGGTTTTGCTTAGCAATGAAAATTGTGGTCCCAATTGTAGTCATAAGTCAAAGGCTACCTGTAATACTGAAATTAGAAAAACCAGAGTGGATTTATGGAACCTGACTTTATGTCGTTTAGCTGTGTCCATTGGAGTCTCCCACCTATGGAGAGAACTGTCTTCCTGCAATGCAGAAATTTGCTGTAAAATAGCAAGATAAAATTCTAGCTTGACATATTCCTTTTGTATTAGCAAGGAAAGTGTTTGTTGTAAAGAAAAACATTTAAATGTGGGATACAGAGAGTGCTGGGTGTATAAATAAGACACTTAATTGTTTTTCAATGTTCAATTCATCTCATATCTACAATACATCTAATTCTTTCTCTTTAATTTCTGAGTTTAATTGCGGTTTCAGAATAATGGTTCATTGTAATTCAATTTTTTAAAGTTTTTGATGGACTCTGAACTCTCGCATAATCCCACAGGCGGCATTTGCACAAACCATGAAGCTCTTTTTTTACATACGGTTTGAGTCAGTGTTTTCAGTAAACACATTATCTCTTTTCACTCATGTGCAAAATCTCTGTCAGCTCAAGTGCTCTTCAAAACCACTGCTTCGAAGGACTGAAGAGCTTTTATTGGAAAAATTAATAATTAAAAGGAAGAAAATACGTGTTTGTCAAAGCCACTCCAAACTTCGATTAGTGCTCATGGCAAGGAAAGAAACATTGCTTCTTCGAATTATTGATAATTGCTATTTTGAGCAAAAAAATCAGAATAGGCATAAGTAAAAATATCTGTAAACATTCATGAAGTGGAAATCTCAAATGTGAATCTCGCATTAGGCAAAGTTCTTACCTTTTATTTTTATGCCTGGAACTCATGCCAACTCTAGGACACCCATTTTCTTGCATCTAAATCAAATCCCAGCCGCTTCATCCAAGTTCCTAGTCCTCAACCTCAGTCAAAGTGTATATATTTTATATTAACACCGTCAGTAATGTGTCTCTATTATGTCTTAAGATCAAAATTGTACAAACCACAGTTTTCCTTGTGACACTTCATGAACATGATAGTTGGACCTTGGAGAAGCAGGGTAGGAAGATTATTGACATTTTTGAACTGTGATGTTGGAGAGGACGCCTGGGAATACAGTAGACAGCTAAGGAATGAACAAATGGATCTTCAAAGGTCTGACTAGAGAGAGAAGTCACTATACTTCAAACCAGAGGTGGTATTCAGCAGGTTCTGACCATTTCTGGAGAACCAATAGTGGAAATTTTGAGTAGCTTGGAGAACCAGCAAATATCACCTCTGACTGGCCTTTCCCCCATCTATTCTCTGCCTCCCAAGTCCCAGTAGATCAACTGGGTCTTCTTTGGTTGCTCTGCACAGGAGATCGGAGCTGGAAAGCAGGTTAGTGGGGTGGGGAGGGAATGGGGATTTTGCAGTAACCTTCCCCCAGGAGTGGG